TGGGATCGAGCCCCGCATCGGGCTCCCTGCTCTGCAGGAAGCCTGCTTCTCTCTCTCCCACTCCCCCTGCTTGTGTTCCCTCCCTCGCTGTCTCTCTCTCTCTCTCTGTCAAATAAAATCTTTAAAAAAAAAAAAAAAGATGGGGACTCTTCTTGCTCACTGGTTCCGCCGCCCAGCCCCCCGCCCCCCGCCGGCCGGCCACGCGGCGCCCGGGCCTCCTCCGGGCTCGGGAGGGGGCGGGGGAGAAGCTGATTTTAATCATTGTCATTTCATCTGATGTAATATTTCCCCGGGCGCTTTCAGCTGGGCATAAATTTTCGGCTCCCAAATAAGTAACACAGGGCACGTTTCTCACATTTCTTGACTCTTCGGTTACAAAGAGGAGAGCAGCCGCCGCCGCGGCGCCCGGGGGTAGGGGCGGGACTTGGGAAGAAACTGGGCTGCGAGTCGGCCGGGGCTGGAGCGGAGCCGGGGGCCAGGGCCGCCCCTCCCCCTCCACGGCCTCCCTCCCCGGGTCTCGGCCCCGACTGCCCCTCTGCCGGGGAGCAGCGGCGCCCGTGACGTCTGCGGACACGCGGTCGGTCACCGCGGGGGAGGGGCGCGCGGGGGGCGCCCAGCCGGTCGCCCGCGGCCAGACGCGCCATTTCCTCTCCGCGCCCGGCGCGGCGGAGACGTTTGCGGCCAAGACTCCCCCGGGCGCCGAGGCCAGCGCCCGGGGCGTCCCTCCCAGGTCCCCCGGTCGGCTGCCCCTTCCTCCTCCTCTCCTACCTCCTCCCCCCTTCCTCTTTCTCCTCTTTCCCGTGCGCCCCGCCCGCTCCCCCCCACCCCCCAACTCCATTTCCCGACTCCTAGGAAACGGAGCGCGGAGTCTCCAGTGCGCCTGGCCTGCACTGCGCCCCCGTCCGGCTCCGGGGACGCCCGGGCCAGAGGCAGGCTCGGGCTGGAGGGCGGGTGCGCTCCCGCCGGGAGCGGCGCGGGGGCCCCCACCCGGAGCTCTGCCGGACCTAGACGCCCTCTAGCGGCCTCGATCACGGAGCGGGGGCGGGGGGGCGGCCCGGGGCTGGGGGGGGGGGCGGGGGGCGCTGGTGGCAGAAGGACCAAGTCAGGGCCTGCTTCCCTTCACTAGGGCACCTCGCGCGTGGTAAGAGCGCCCGGACAGCGCTTCTGTAACTTCTCCACGCGGGACTAAGCAGAAACTTTCCTCCTAAGGGAAGGTTTTATTTATTTATTTATTTTAGAGCTCGAACTACAGGAGAAGGGGGAAATTTTCTCATTAAAGTTACATCCCTGCAGTTAGTTCAATTACTTGATATATGCAGAAGATGTTGTAAATTTATAGATTTAAATAGCTTACAAAGATGCCGCAGGCCCCATCAGTTAATTTCCTTAATTTATGGATTTTTAGCGGCTCCTAGAACAGAACGGGGGCCTGGAAGTAGGTCAGGGATCTGTGCAGCCGCTCCATCGGGGCCCACGAGCTGCCCACTCGGCTCCCCACGCCCTGGAGCCTCCGGGCTTCTGGCTCCTAGCTTTGACCTGGCAGCACCACTCTCTGCTCTCTGCACTGGGGCCAGGTCAGCCCAGGCCCGGGAGGTCTACCCTCCTAGGTGGCCGACTGCCCCAGCCGCTCCGGAACAGCAAAGTCCCCCATCCACATTCACCCCACCCAGCACTGAAGGAACGGACCCAAACTGGAAGTGAAGCAAGTGTCCAAATACTTCGACCTCCTGAGTCCTCCCTTAAATACGGGGCTGGGATCACAAACGGAGCAGGGCGTGGACACCTACCCCAAACTTCTTCGGGGACAGAGCCTACCCCATTTCCGGGTCTTTGCGTGTTTGAGGGAAGGGGAGCATATGGAAAAACGCACCAGGCTCCTGTTTGAGGAGCAGACGCACTGAAAACCTACTTGTCATGGCCCTTGGGGCCCCTGGTGTCCCTCACTCCTCCCCCACCCTCTCCTAGGTGCCAGCTAGAATGGCTTTGTTTTGTGTTCAACATGGATGAATATATACATATAAATTCATACTTAAAAGATTGGTATAAACCAAACTGTTTTAGGAAGCCACATGGTGATATGTTTAGTGTTGGTATTCATGATTTAACATTTCTTTTCCCACTAGATGAAGTTTCTAAGATTTGCAAGGTACATGTCAAGGACGGGTGTATAAATGGATTTTTATTTATTCACAACTCCAAGACTAATTGCTTCTCTTTGCCTCAAGGCCATGAGATTGGTTTTAATATGACACTTCAAAAGTATTCCTGGAACTACAGAGATACTAAGTGTCATTGTTTAAGAGACAAATGTCACTGTGGTACCGGTGACCCTGAAAATAGGATGTTCCACTTTATTTTAAATTCCTACATGTTTTTTTAAGGGTTTCACTTTATACCAACTATATTAAAAATGCACAACTTAATCAAAACAAGAACTGACCATTTTGCAGGACCTTTATTTCCTTAATATTGCTGGGAACTTTGTTTTCGTATTCCTGAATCCTTTTATTAAAGACCTGAACTTTATACGTGTCATTAAGAAGAGTAAGTTTGGGTCATAATTTATTCTCAAGTGTTTTAAAAGTTCCCAGTTAAATGTCAACCATCTTCTGCATTAAAAGACTTGGGCATGGATTGTGATAGGCATTTAACGATCTGTGGTGTATCATGCAATGGCGAGGCTTT